TGATCTAAAGCTACATACCGGCCTATAGCGAGTACAGAAATAAAGCGATATATCCAATCTGCTCCAGACATCTCTGCCAGCCTGTTTTTTTCATTACGGTCTGAGTTCAGGACCAGAAACACGTCGTATTTTCATTAGGAAGCAGCCGAGCGCGTCTCGCCTCGCTCACTTATAACAGATAACTTCCTGGAAGCTCCTCTGCGGATGAAGCAGCGGAGGCCTCCCTGCCGCCGACAAATGGCAAACACGTGTGTTTATAGGAGGATCAATGGCAAGTGATGGAGTCGCCGTGCTGTGACTAACTACTGTTTATGCCAGAGATCTGACGCCCGGTCTAATAGTCAGTTTCACCTGCTCCGACTGAGGCAAACAAAAACACGAGTCTTCCCCCCTCCGCATCGCTTCAAACAGCGCTGCGTGTAGCTGGCAGCCATTACGGCTAACAACCTGTTTGTTCGGTGTGATTAAAGGTCACGTGCAGCGTTTCACATGAACCAGAAGATGTAAAAATATCGTTATGTTTAAATTCTCCTCAGCTCGTTCTTTATCGAGCGAGATGCTATAAAAAAGTCATCGAAATTCGTCCACTTATGTGTCGTCCTGTGTGTGTTTACCTCGTCACACGCTCAGCCCCCAATAAAAAGTGAACCACGGTGAGAACAGCTGCTAAGTGTGTCAAACGTGTCAGACTGCTTCATGTGATCCCCAGACTCACCACAACACACGATATTCTGTGTATTTGTGTTTGTGGAGGCGTGGTTTTTTTTCTACAAATCGATGTCAGACTTCTGGAGAAATTCAGCGATGACCACACAGTGCAAATGTTTGTACGTGTTATCGAGGCAGCAGCAACCTTAATCAGCCTTTATGATTCAGCAGCACTACTGTGATTGCTGTAGCATTAGGATTTAATATTAACCCTTGTGTTTTGTTTACGTGACTTTTACTTCCTTACTGAGTCGTGGTTGTGAAACCAACCTTTGAGTTTGTTTTTCTGACCCTATTAAAATCCCAAATGATAAATATTGAAGTAGTAACTAACAGAATGGCCACAAATCGGACATTAAGCAGTTTTACACAAAATAATTACGTGTGTGTGTGATGTGGCTGTGAATGAGTGAATCTAAAACTAATGCTAACACCAATTACAGGTGTAGATGCACAGTTTCTAATGAGTGAACATCATATTCTGTAATGTGTTTTTAAGCAATGTGTATATAATTAGAGTGGTAAACCCTGGCTAAGCATGTTTTTGAGCTGTTAAAAATGGCCCAGAAGCCCAGTCAGACACTTTAAGGCTGTTTTCGTTGCTAAGGTTCGCGGCACTGAGACTTCACAGAAGTGTTTGTGTGAAACAGAAACAAGCAGCTCGATGTGGTTTCAGTGATGGTCACAGTTTCTTTCACACCTTTTCTTCTACCGGCTTGTATCTGTGCAAAGTGAAACTGTGACCTCCGCTTCTACTCTGCTGGTTTTCAGCACCTCTACATGTGAGCACACGCGTTGGTTTGTGATCGTGTGTGCAAGAGATTGGTGAAGCCATCGCTCCTGTTTTGGCAGCTGGTCACAGCGATTGATCGCTGTAATTAGCAGACACAAAGCAGCGTGATACGTGCTGTTCTTCTGTCTGTGGGGGGATTTAATTTCTCCTCTGAGCATCACACACACAAAGCGGTTAACCACAGCAGTAATATGACGGCGTACGACTGAAATAAAACGTCATTTCTTGTCTGTGACAGCTTGTGAATCACCTGTCCTACATTAGAAATGGGAGTAATGGTGGTGATCTAGATATTTTATGTTTTGGTTTCATGTTGGCGCCTCATTATTTTGCAGCTGGAAACTCTTTCAGTGCAGCCATTCAAATCTTGCATGAAGCGGTAACACCAGCGCTCTATCAGCGGCAGAGCAGACGTCACACTGAGTCAGACAGCAAAACAAACTCTGAACAACAACCTACATTAGCTTTCCTGCGAAACCCTCCTTCTTAACTGACACACATGAGCACACCTTGTTCTGCAGAACAACAAACAGCATGTAAACGTATCTGCAAACAACACTTTGTTCCACTAAGATGCTGCTGATACCAGAAATTGGGCAGTCAGATATTAAGTAGCTCTCAGTGGTAGCCTGTGAACGTTATGAGCTAGCTCTACTTTAGCTTCATACTGCTAACAACAGCCTCATTGAGCACTCTTCATGAGGTTAAATTAAAACATTTACAAGCGTGTAGTGTTGAATCCAACTTTATCTTGTGAAGTAACAGATGTTAAATTGGATTGGCTTAAGAAGAAATGAGATACAACAACTAAAATAACAGAAATAAACTGATAAATGAAGTAAAATTGGGGAAAAACTTCTAAGAATTCATATAAAACAAGTAACCAACCATTATTTTTCTAAGCTGATGTATTCTCTGATCTGTAAAATGTCAACAAGTAAAAACTTTCAAAGCTGATTTCCCCTTAAACAGTTAAAAACTTGTACTTTTCCCACAAAAAGCTCAATAAAACAAGCCAATAAACACATTTCAGTGGCTTCACTTTCAACCTGACCTGATCAATTCATGGTTTATTAAAATCGCTGCAGCTCTAAAAGCTGCTGCACTTCCTCTTACATTCAGACTCTAATTGGAGCAGCAGCAGTAATCACAGTAATCAGCATTTTGTTTCCTCATGGATGACTCTGCCACCGCTGATCAAATTATTGGAGTGAGCCAGCGTCCAGGTCCGCTCCCATTGGGCGGCGCTGACCTCCGGGGGTCATGATCGAACTGGCTGCAGCTCACTGGTGGCGCTGGCTGATTGTGAGAGTGTAATTGTGCGATGGGTGTTGCTGGCTAATGGTACTGACAGCGTACTCAGACAATAGCCAGAGAGAGATAACGACGTTAGCGGCACAGAGTTTCACATGGGAACTATGTGAGCCAGGCCGCGAGGAAAGAGGAAGGCCAGAGAAGGTTCAAGAAATCTTCAAACCAGCAGCAGCCGCAAAGAGGCTTCCTGATTCCCACAGGGAAGCTCGAGCCGCTGACAGCGTAGAGCAAGAATAAAACCGCAACAGAGACAAATGAAAGTGTCGGACTTTCCACTGAGCGGCTGCGAGTCAAAGTTTCTGCTAAAATATTCCAGTTTTTTGTTATTTGCCCAAATCTGATCCAGTTTGACTGTTTTTCAGCTCATTTAATCTGTTCTGATGCAGATTTAATCCAGCTCACTGCACAGAAAGATCAGAGCTGATGAAGATTTTAAAGCAGCAACAGTGCTTTCGGTTCATCTTCATTATATATATTTTCATTTTATTGCTTAACAAGAAGCAATAACTGAACAAATGAGGGGCGTGTTGCTTCTCTTTATTGTCTTTACGAGGCCTATCTGAGCAGCGAATTACGCTGAAGTCAGTTGTTGTGTGTAATTATACCAATATATTGATATAATTTGCTTTTTTTTTTTTCTTTCTTCTGACTCATAAACTGATGCAATTTTGAGCAATTGTTCCTTTGGATGGTCAGCTGTGATAGAAGGAAGTGGTCCAGGTTTCTTTACCAAACATGCGAGAAACAGCCTTTGAACTTGCGTTTAATTCTTTTTGTTTGACTCGTGAGCCAAAAAGAGGTTTCGTTTTGGACTTTTTTTTTCACATGAGAGTCAAGAAGTTGAGTCTCGTTAAAGTTTAAAAGAAGTTTTAAAGGAAAAAGCCACGACAAAGGCTGGTTGTTGGCATGAATCGCAGACGAGCTGGGAAAGCTGAGCAACAAACGCTGCTCTCTGGCCGTCTGTAAGGTGCCCTTGAGCAAGGTGCTTAACCCCTAATTGTATTTATGGAGTTTGCATGGACTGTTGTGCTGGGCAGCTCCCTGGAGTTAAAATCGTGAGCATCAAGGAGTTGAAAAGGAGTATTCATGCTCAGTTAACTCCTTCCGTGGCTGAATAAAGGCGAAAGGAAAAAGACTGATGCATTTACTGAGGCAATTAGCCTTAAATGCCTCACTCAGACACAGAAGCGGCACGCTCCAGGGCTTTTCCTATCTCCAAAATCTGTGGTTTTGAGTCATTATCCCTCAACCCTCTCTGGACCCTTAGATAACTCTGCCCTGAAGCACGGTACGAGCTGAGAAAATCCCATCAAGTTCACATTTGGTTTGAAAGACATCTGGTGCAAAGCTGCAGGCTAATGGCAAATCTGCCCAAAGTTCACCAGCATGTCACTCACCACAGTGGTTAAAAACCGGTGGTGTTATAAAGGAGGAGTCTGACACCGAGTAAAAGACCCTCAATTACTGTATTGCAGACAGTTAGATGAGAGTTGATGCTATGTAATGTCTGCGCAGTAAATGTGACCCAGCAGTCAGTTAGCTTAGCTTAGCATAAAGACAGCTAACCTAAGTTTTCCAAAGGTGACAGAGTCTGACTCTAAACCTCTGACTCATGAAACAGTGTGTTTTCTTTTAGTCTTTTACTATCAGGACAACTAAATCCATTTAAAAGACGTGTCCAACACTCAAAACCAAAGAACAAAAGAAAAGGAAAAACAGAGGAGATGACAAAAACCAACCAATAACGTTTTAGAACCAAAAAGTTGTTTCTTTCTCTGTGTTTATTTTAATTCAAAGTGTGGTTTAGTGGGGGTTTATGTGCCTTGTGACTTAAAAAAAAAAAAAAAACGCCACGAAAGGAGAACTTGTTGTCTTTACACCTAGTTTTTTTCATGGACTAAACAAGCAACAAGTGATTGTTTACAGCTCTGTAGGTGCTTGTGGTAAATGATGCTACTTCCAGTTATCTGGCTAAGCTAACTAGCGGTAGCTACGTAGTTGCCAGGCTGCAGCATCAATCCTCTCATTTAACTCTCAGTAAGAAGCTGCTTCCCCAGATGTTGAGCTATTCCTTCATTTTTTAGTGAAATTCTGTCAAACACTGCGTGCTACGAGGTAAAAGCTGCTGTTTCCACTTGTTGTTCTGTCCTAATTAACAGTCTTACCCTTCTTTCTGCAGAACCTGATGGCCAAGGCGTTGTACGACAACATGCCCGAGTCCCCCGAGGAGCTGGCCTTCCGGAAAGGGGACATCCTGACCGTGATTGAGCAGAACACTGGCGGCCTGGAGGGCTGGTGGCTCTGCTCCCTGCATGGCCGCCAAGGCATCGCCCCCGGCAACCGCCTGAAGCTGCTCATCGGACCAATGTTCGAGGCTCAGTCGTCGGCCGCCGCCGCCGCCCAGTCTCCTCCTCAGAGCTACCAGCAGAAGGCCGGCTCAGGGGCTCCGGGGCTTTACCAGATGCCTTCGTCCCTGCAGAGTCCACAGCAGCAGCAGCAGCAGCAGCAGCAGAGCATCTACCAGGTTCCTCCAGGACAGGAAGTCTACCAGGTCCCACCGAGGAGCACTCTGGCTGCAGATAAAACACCCAGCAAGGTGAGACAGGAAGTCGGCAAGGCAGGAGACTCTACGTTTCGCCAGAGCTAGAAATAATAACTATTTTCAGTATCTGGTAATCTGTCAGTTCATTTTTGATTAATTCAGTCCAGGGCTGAGAAACCACCCACCACGGAGAGCCAATAATTTGCAGGTTTTCATTTCAACCGGCTGATTTCACTGATCCTTAAAGTAGAGGGAGGAACTCATCAGTGAAACCACCTGCTGAAGTGATTGGTGGGAAGGAACACCTCTGGACTGCTGCTTCCTGGGCCACCAAATACCACATTTCTAATTTAGTCAGTAAAATGTAAAAGAAAAAAAGACCTGAAATCTTCTTTTTTTTAACAGTTGTTTGGTCTGAGCATTTCTCCAAAACCTAAAAATATTCAGTTTGTAATGATGAAAAAAACAGAAAGCAGCAGATCATCACATTTGAGGCTGGAAAAAGCAACTATTTGGCATTCGTGCTTGATAAATTACAATTTCTGATTATTTATTGACTCCAAATGTTTCCTAAATGGGTTTGACTGCCATCCAGATTTTCAGACTGTTACTTTAATTGTGTTTTAGACTGAAAGTAAAAGAGGTGCATATTTTAATCAGGGTGATGTGGCTGCAGAGAAAGAGAAAATGGAGAAAATGGACACTGGTCTGTCCCGTCTTTGTGATCACGGTGGATTTAAATCGTAGCTTCAGCTCTGGTGGGTGTGGCCTCACTGAGCTGGCGAGCGTGGCTGTCAGATGTGATAGGACATGGCGTTTTCTTATTTACACCGTGACCTGTTATCCTGCCTGTCCGCCCTGCTTTCATCGGTGTGATTGCACACACAGAAGGCAGAAAGGCAGCAGAGATTGTGGGTCTGCCATGTGAAATGTGGACAGGGTGTGCCGGGCCTGGCGCTCACCACAGAGCAGGGTAGTGTTTTTGTGCAGGGCTCCCATTTGGCTTTACTCGTATACTGGCACACTGTGTGTAGCAGAGCCAGTCTAAGCCACAGAAAGGCAGCGAATATGGGAAGAACTTGTGGAAAAGCAAACAGCACAGAGCTGTTTTTTGGATTTTGGTGGAGCCCAGCTGCCTGAAAGTACTTTTTTCCCTGCATTTAAATGCTGTACACATGGTCTCTGGCAGACCCGCTGCACTTGGCTTGGCCATTTACAGTATAGCTATATATACAATCGCCCAAACAGAGTGTCCATAATATGTATTTGTTGTTTTATTGGCTAGACAGTATCTCATTTAAAGTATATATCTCAGGCTGCCCGAGAAAATAAACCAGTGAGTTTCACATTTACCTTTTTCTGGACAAACTGGTCGTCTTTAACAGTTTTTCATTCATTTGAAACAGGCTGTTCTGTCCTCGGTGTGCAGGCACATCAAGGTTCAGGTGCAAACATCAGCCAATGCGTCAAACACAAATACTTAATACTTTACCCTGTTCAGTAACTAGTATAACTTAAAAAAAAAAAGAAAAAAAGAGTAACACCACTTCTGTCATACAAAGGAAACGTTCCATTCATTAAAACATTAAAACACATCTTTACTCCATTCACTACTGCCTGGTTTTGCAGCTAAATCCTTAACTGTGTGTGGACTGACTATAAGAAACTGGATTTTAGCACATTAGCTAACAAATGACTGGTCATTCCATTCGCTAATGGTCACTAATGTAAGTTACTATAAGGTACCATAAGTGGCTGAATGCATTAAACGTTTACAAACATGTGCTAACACACAGCTAGCATTAGCTGCCACAAGCAACTGGTCATTCTGTTTGCTTATGGCAGGTAATGTAGTTGATGTATTGGCTATTGTTAGCTACCAAAAGTGACTGGATGTTTCTGGCTAACATTAGCTACCATGAGGTCATTCAGTTGCTTTTGGTAGCTGATGTGAGGGTAGGTAATGATAGTTCATGCTAGCTAACATTAGCTACCGAATGTGCCTGGATACAGCAAATGTAAACAAATATTAGCTAACATAAAGCAAATGTGCAGTTGATATTGTAGCTGATGTGCTTGGTAACATTAGCAATCTTAAAAGACTGGATGGTAGTAAATCTTAGCAAACGTTAGCTAAGACATAGCTAACATTAGCTACAATAACTGACCAGCCATTCCATTCACTTAAAACAGGTAATGGTAGCACATTTTAGCTAACAATGTTTACCACAAGCTACAGGCTTTAAGAAAACATTAGCTAAAATACTGGTATAGTGAGCCAATGTTGTTGTTTTTTTAAATATTTCTTTACAGTGGGTAATGTAGCTGATGCACTTGGTAACATTAGCTATCCTGAACTAATACATAATAGAAAATGTTAGCATACATAAGCTTACATAAAGCTAACATTAGCTATTATAAACAAATGAACATTTGTTTCAGTTAGTTGCAGCTTATGCGTTGCTAAAATAGCATCAACTACGATCCACAGAGTCATTCAGTCACTTACAGTAGCTGATGTTAGCTGTTAGCAAAAGTAAGCTAGACATTTCTAACTGATGTTATTGAGGCACCTTGGTGCCTTCATCTCTTTTAAACTTATTGCATTGTTTTGGTTAAAATATACCTGTTACACAACCACAGTTAGCACATCAATCCTTCCCTATGACTGGAAGTCTTCGGTGGGTGTGTGATGAAACACAAGGGAAGAATCTTTCTGTTTATTCAACCGCTTAACTAGTCCTAGCACCTCACACCGGCTCATCCCTTCAGGATAAGAATAGTAATTATATGCTGAATGAGCTTTTGTTATCCTGAGGGTTTTTTCTTTTCTTTTTCTTTTTAACAAATCAGCTCCAGCCATCACAGAAATGAGCTAAGGTGTGCATTTTAGTAGGTAAACAGGCAGCAGGCGCCGGGAGCTTAGAGGACTTAGCGTGATTCGCTGCACAGGAGTCGCTGTGATAAAGTCAGTCAGAGCCAGAGGCTGAGAGGAGCCAGCTGTCAATCATCCTGCACACACACACACACACACACACACACACACACTCATACAGTAAATATCGACACACACACATTAACGCAGCGGCCCCATCAGCCAACACCTCTCTGTTCCATAACGGGCCGCGAGGCTTAGCGGAGGAACGGTATTAAAAAGGCTTTGATGATAACACGGAAAATTAAATGTGCCTCTAATGTGAGTGTGTTTTGTGCCGTAATCATGTTATTGGACAGATTAAATTAAGTCTCGGACGTTTAGCTGGCCCTCCAATCTGTGATTATCAAAGTGGAGCAATTTTCGGTGGTTGTTCCTGTCCACGAAATAGAAAGATTTGGCGTTACACTCACGTGTGTGTGTGCACATCCATGTGTCAGCGCGTCCAGACAAGGAGCTGTTGTTTCCCAGTGACGTCTGACTGTTGGACAGCAGCACCGTCGGTCTCTGTGGCCACAGTCGGCCCCGTTAAAGCCAGCATCTGTGGAGAAACAGCAAGAAACAAACCCAGGAGCTCAGTGTTGCTGGTTCTTAGAGTTGTGTTGGATTCAGGTGGAGTGACTCCAAGGGTTGGATGGACATGAAACACTCCTGTTTGGATCATTTGACTGATAAACTGGGTGTTAATTTAGCTTTTTCTGAAAAAAAGCAAAGATACATGAGAATGTAAGTGGAGAAGTGAACTGTGGCTGATTGTAAATGCTGAACTGAACACCCGGTATGGTGCAATTTTTTTTTTATAGCATTTTTGGCCACATTTCTTTATCTAATGTGGTTTAATTTGTGTGTTTTCAGTTTGAAGTGTTGCTCCATCATCTCAGATTTTGTTTATTTATTTGGTATTTGAAACACAAAACAAAGTTTCGTAAAAGATTTGGCAGAATTTAGAGAATTTCATGTTTTCAGACCTGGGAATGTGCTGTACTTTGTATTTGGCTGCATTTTTTTGTAGGACTTAAGGATACATCCAAACATATGTGTACACTTTCAGGACCTTTCTAAGACCCTTATACCACCCTGTTTTGAAAACTCTGCATGTTTTCCCCACATTTTTAACAGTCAATAACTAAAGTTTTGTCCTCTGCTGGAACCAGTCTATCCTTTTGATGTGCTGGGAACAGTTTTGTCTTTGTCCTCGCCACATGTCAAGTCTTTGAGAGTTATATTTATGGAGATATTTAACCTTTAAAGTGGACTCACAAGTAAAATTTAATAAAAAATCACAGGTCTGAAAATATCTGAAATTCTCAAAATTCAACCAAAATATTTTACAGAACTTGGTTTTGACTCCCAGATAACAAAAAACTGAACAGTTGAGCCACGTTTCCTGAATTCTGTCAGATTTCACACAGACTGAGCCCTGTAGTTTCTATTTTAAGGCACTTTGAAGATATTTATAAAAGAAAGCTGCATGAGCGCGCTGTGCTACATGCGTCGTGGTATTTATGGAAATATTTCTGTGAATGTGAAACCCAAGCCCGACCTTTGCTCTTAAAAACATCAAACTGGTTTTGTTTACTCCAGCTTGTCGTTGTGAAGTGGTATTGATGACAGGCTGCGAGCGTTGACTCACGCTGCCTTCCCTGTCATGCACTGAGAACCGATGGAGCTGAAGGAAAACAGACATTTTCTTGTTGTCAAGTGCAAGCATGCATTTGGTTTTTCCGAATGATTACTGAGACTGATGCCAGCTTCCTCGACTGATAATCCCCTCTCATATTACTCATCCCCTCCCACAGAGAAGCCTCCTGTGTGCCATGCACTGCTGTCTGCCGCACAGATCCTCCAGAATGCGTCCTCGGGGTTGCATGCCAACCCTGCAGTGCAAATCCAGATTGGCGACTGGTTATTTTCCCTTCATGTGGTGCGGGGCCTGGTATATAAAGGCACACTGAGGCTTGGCGCTGGCTGCTTCTCTGGCAGTTTGGTTTGATGCTGTGGCCTTGTCCTTGGGTGACCCTGCTGGGAGGGTGAACACCAGAGCCGCCCCCCCTCCGTCGTGGCCTCCAGGCCGGACTGTGTGGGACAGATGCCTGGAGCTCTCTGCCACACAAAGGGC